AAAGTGATAAAGATAGTGATTGTGATGCGTTCAGTGATTGTGGAAGCTATCGAATTTGAGTAGAGCTGTAGTTTCTCGTATTCATAGCTCATTCAGTTTTGTGGTATGCCGAAGAACACGAAGAAAGCACAGTATCAAGAAAGAGTGCTTCGGAGCAGTAGGACATCAAGCCAGCCAACCTCTCGGAGCCATTCACCAGTACCTGGTTCTGAGCTAATCTGCCTTCCAATCATGGCTCGTTCCAACCCAGATGTGAGGGAAGCAGTGCAGGTAATGGAGGGTGAAGTTAGCCTCTTTTCTGAGATCCTCCAAAAGATCGAGACTCTGTCATCCGAGTTCCGAGAGATGAAGTCTCAAACCCAACGACTTCAGGAAGCTGTTGCTAGACAGGAGACCATATTGCAACGCGAGACGAGGGTGGAGCCCAATACTCAAGCCCAAGATAGAGCCAGTCAACAACCAGAGCAACCAGAGGGCCAAGCAAGTGAAACTGCAACTCTGCGACTCCAACTGGACAGGCAAGCCCGTGAACTTGAAGAATTGAGACGTCTGCTTCGGGAGAGGGAGAGCACTCTGGCTACAGGACCTCAGCAGGCCAGCCAACAAGCCTTCAGTCCACCAAGGAATCCGTCGCTGCAACATCCGGTCCCTAGGCATCGTACAATGACCCCTGAGCCTCCTGCATTTTCTGAACCACCAGGGCAACCTAGGGAACATTCTTCCAACCAAGAGTGCAGCACATGTGTAAGACCAGTTTCACATAATGCCCAGGGTATCTCGTATGTCCTGGCCAGGGAGAATGTACCACACTTCAGGGGAGACACGACCGCTTCACAACCCTTGAAGAAAAATCAGGCAATTGAAGGCTGGATTCGCGCCATTGAAAATCTAGTAAAACCTCCCACTAGTGAAGCCTTCATGCAAGCTGCAAGAGCCAACTGCCGAGGCCCGGCAGAACTCATGTCAACTCCCCACTGTTTGACGGCATCCGAGATTGGGATATCTTCAAGGCTTCGCTTCGTGCAAAGTTCCGAGGTACCTACACATCTTCTGATTTCTTCAAGGTGCTCTACGAGAACAAGATGGTTGCTGGCCAAGCCCCTATGGACTTTTACATCCAACTAGAAGGTTCAGTTTACCAGGGATACCGCGACCATAGAGAGGCCATTGGAGATCCCTCTGAGCTCATCGCCGTGTCTTCCTGTCTGGGCTACCATCTTGGCTCCGAGATTTTCTAGCAGTAAGGGATGAAGGCTCACCCATGCAACTCGCTGAAGCTGCACAGCGCATATGGAACTCCCGGAACGGTATTCAGCATGGGACCACGCCTTCACGCAGATGTCCATGGATGATCTTGGTGATCATCATCGCTTCCCTGAGCGTCCACCTCGATCACGGGATGTTTATGCTTATCCTGTGGCTGAATCACCATCACACCCTGTTCCAGAGCATCGGTACTGGTGTGAGCACCACAAGAGTATTACACACAATACTTCTGAGTGTCGAGCTGCCGCTGCTCCTTTAACAAGAAACCTGCAACAGCCTAGAAGCCTGATATGTTTCCGATGTCGACGCCCGGGACACCTAGCCAAAGACTGCCCCTTTCCGACCAGCCAGGATGGTAGAGCTCCCAACCTCTCTGGCGAAGCCGCAGCCAGGAGCAATAACAACTGGAACGCAGACTCACACTTCAATATCGGTCTCAACAGTGAATGCCACCGGACCATCAGGACGGCCTCTCGTGGCACTCAGAGCTAATGACCAGACTGTGCTGTGTTTTCTGGATACTGGATCCGAGGCCACCCTGATTAGACCTAGCATTCTAAGACGACTTGATCCCCAGAACAACCTTCGACGCATCAGATCTTCTAAATTACTGCGGGGTGTGACAGGACAACCACTGGCAACCACATCAGAAGTGACCCTGCATTTCCAGCTGGATGATGACCTGTTTATTCCTCACCAAGTTATGCTAGTAGATGTCACTTATCCTGGGGATATATTCCAGCAACCTCATTTCGTATATCCCTCCTGGGGATGGATTCGAAGACTGGACTTCTCCCTCACGCATGACCCCAACACCACCAGTAGCTGTCTTTCTCTGGAAGGAAGACCATTCTCAGTTGTGTACACTGATGTCGAATCTCTTCATGTTCGTGTCATCTCTACCACAGCTTCAAACCCAGAAACACCAGCTGAGTTCAGTACAGAGATGCTTCCAACACAGGACCACAAGCATTCACCTGGGATTGCTGTTCACCTCACTGCTCGTACAGATGTTCCTCCACATACTGGGTGCTTTCTGGATAGCCGAATCGCCCGAGCAGGTCCAAGAGATGGTGATGTGATTGTAACCCCTACGACAACTGGAAACCTCATTCTTCCTCATTCGGTGACAACAGTCAAGGATCGCTGCTGTTTTGTGTGGGCAGTAAACCCTACCCCTAAGACCCTAATACTCCATGGCGGAACACGGTTAGGCACCGTAGCATCAGTGGAAGCGCTTTTCACAGCCAAAAGTAGCCTCCACTTACAGAGCAAAGCAAGACCGTCCTTGCCAGGTCAGATGTATGCCCTGTCAAGACAGACTCTCCAGCAATTGAAGTTCCTGAGGATAAGGCATCCTCTCTGAGGCTCAGGCACGCCCTTCCAGTGACGATTTCAGCGAAGAGGTAGAGGATTCTTCCAGAATCCTGAGCTCTAACAATCTTGCCAACACAGATTCCCAAGGCGAAGACAAGGACACTGAATTTGAGTGGGAGGAAGAGGATTTCATTTGGGAGGATTTTGCTGATACTCTCCTCTATGAAGACTTCGACGACAGTGATGCTGAGGTCGAGCAGGCAGAGCTACCGCCCTCACTTGCCATTGCTGCTTGTGAAGCAGCTGAACAACTTCTCTCATCTCCGCTACCTGATGAGAGCAGTCTTGTACCAGATCTTTCCCATCTGGATACCAAATCACAACACCAGCTAACTGAACTCCTGAACCAGCACAAAGAACTTTTTGAAGGAGGAGAAGAAACCGTTGGACTTGTACCTGGAATTAGCCACAAGATTGACACTGGTGACGCCAAACCAGTCAGTATCCGGCAATGGAGACTGCCGCAATCAACCCGACAAGCCATCAGAGACCAGTGTGATTCAATGTTGGATGCTGGAGTCATTGAGCCCTCCACGTCACCCTGGCTAAGTCCAGTAGTGCTTGTGAAGAAGAAAGGAGGTGGTCTAAGGTTCTGTGTGGACTATCGAGGTCTCAATGCTGTAACGAAGAAAGATGCTTATCCTCTACCCCGCATCAATGAGCTGATTGATGAGTTAGGCCCAATGGACACGTTTACCACACTAGATGCTCGAGCTGCATATTGGAGTGTTGAACTGGAGACAACGGATCGACCCAAAACTGCTTTTTCCGATGGGTACCGCTTATTTCAGTTCTGTCGACTCCCTTCGGTCTATCCACAGCTCCTACAACATTTCAGAGAACAATGAACATTGTTCTGGCACCAGTACTTGGACGGCATACATTGGCATACCTCGATGATGTGATCATCTACAGCCGAGGTTTACTCAACATCTCCAGCACCTCGCCGAGACCTTACAGCTTCTTTCTTCTGCTGGTCTTAAGCTTAACCCACAGAAGTGTCAATTTGCTGCCAGTACTATTGACTTCCTGGGCTTCACTATCTCACCAGGAGGAGTGTCTCCCAACCAAGAAAAGGTAACTGCTATATCCAAGACTCCTGCACCACGCACTGTGAGGAGGTACGCAGGTTTCTAGGAGCCACTGGGTTCTATCGGAAGCATATTCCTGATTATGCAACGGTCGCATCACCACTGCATCTACTCTTAAAGAAAGGGCAGAAAATGGATCTGGGGGGCCGAACAACAGTCCGCTTTTGAAGAACTCAAGCTGCGCCTCACAACTGCACCAGTCTTGAGGCAGCCAGATTTTTCAAGAGACTTTGAGCTACATACTGATGCTTCCAGTGTAGCCCTTGGTGCTTGCTTGATGCAGAGAGATGTGCACAACACGCCGTACGCCATTGCTTATTACAGCAGGAAGTTGAGGGATGCTGAGACCCGCTATCCTGCCATAGATTTGGAAGCCCTTGCAGTGGTTGAAGGGGTTCGGGTATTTGACTCGTACCTCTATGGGAGGCACTTCACTGTCTACACTGACCATCGCCCACTGGTTTACATTTTCTCCAGAAAAACTAAGTCTCCCAGGATGACTAGGTTTGCACATGACCTGTCATTCTATGATTTCAATATACGATACAAGGAGGGTCCTACCAACCATGTACCAGACCTGCTTTCACGACAAGTTGCTAAGCTCACCATCACTGACCTCTCTCCAGAGAGACTTGCTGCAGAACAGGAAGCTGACCCTCTACTGAGTGATGTTCGCAAATATCTAGTGGAAGGGACTTTGCCCAAAAAGAAGTTACCCCTTCCTCTCTGCGAATTTGAACTTAAGGATAATGTGGTCTATAGGCTGAAGCACTTCCCAGACCGCATATGCTACCAGCTGTTTGTTCCCCAGAAGCTTAGGAATTCTGCTCTCAAGGCATCTCATCTTCCACCCTTAGCATCACATCCAGGCATCCATCGTACTTTCCAGAATGCTAGGGCAATGTTTTATTGGCCTAATATGCTGCGAGATGTTAGGCAGTATGTTGACAGTTGCCTGATCTGCCAGCAGTCAAGAGGCAGCATGCAGAAGGTTCCAATGGCTGATACACCATTAGCAGAATTTCCCTTGGAACGGGTATCTATGGACCTAATGGACTTTGGTCCATCCATTCCAGTTCGCTGGGCCCTGTCGATCCTGGATCAGCACTCCCGTTTCCTGCAGATTGTTCCACTGAGGAAGGCTACTGCTGCAGCTGTCCATTCGGCCTTTTGGATCATTGGGTTACCCTCTTTGGACCTCCCAGGGTGATCCAAACAGATAATGGGATACAGTTCACCAGCAACATCTTCAGAGAACTAACAAAAATGATGCATGCCACGAATCATTACACCATTCGATACCATCCTCAGGCCAATGGAATGGTGGAACGGACAAACCGTGTAGTGAAAGCTGCCCTTACTACCTTAGTCGGCAACCGTCCAAGAGTATGGCATCAGTTTGTCCCAGAACTTCGGCTCCAGATTAATTCTGCCATACATCGTACTACTGGGGAACAGCCAATCTACCTCCTGACTGGGCGTCACGCAAATTTTCCTGTGGGTCTCACCAATGAAGCCATATTTGCAGAGAATCTCAATTTACAGGGACGACTACAAGAAGCTCGTCAAGCAGCGGTAGAAGCTTCCAGACAAGCAAGGCAGATTTATGGAAGATACTACGACCGAGGCAAAAAGATAGTGTTCCAGCCTACAGAGGGATCCCTTGTCTGGTACTATGAACACAGAGTCGTATGGGTGGACTACCCCCTCTCAGTGGTAAATGGCGTGGACCAGCTCGAGTCATCAGACGCTTAGGGCCAGTTTCCTTCGAAGTACTGAACTTGGACACAGGAGTTCAACTGAAGGCCCATTTGAATCACCTGAAGCCCTATCGCCCTTCTGAGGAACTCTCCTATGCTGTCGACGATGATGACGAGGAAGGACGTGCAGATGACGAAGAGGGACGTCCCGGTGACGAGGAAGGACCTGCAAACGACGAGGAGGGCCCTGGAGATGACGAGGAAGGAGGCGAGGATGGTACCAACCAGCCAGGTGCAGCGGTCCAGGATGCAGACCTTCCAGAGGATCCATGGGTGTCTGTTCTGACATCCTTTGCCAGGGAGCCAGAGGAGCGCAGGGAGCTGAATGTTGCAGCCGAGACGCTCAACGGCAACAATGTATAGTGTTTGTATATATTGGTTTATTTTATGTAACTGTTGTCTTGTGTGCTCCAGTTGATTGCGACTGATACGTCTCAGCTGGGCACACCCACCCTTTTGTGTTGAGGCAAGTAACAGGGCTCAGGCCTACCCTTTTGGTTTTGTTTCAGATCCTGTCTCCGCTGACCACTCCGACCCAAGGCATGGGAGGATTGTGGAGTGTGGTCTGCAGTCCAGAGGAGAGGGCGACACACTCCAGTTACACTCGCACTTAACTTTGTACGGCGCCAGGTTTTCCCCTGCGTGGGACTGCATTAGTCACCCCTGTGCCCGTTTTCTATTGCCCGCTTTTAATTGTTTTAATTACCACCTTCTGTTAATTTTTTACTAGTTCTTTTTTTTGTTTGATATATTTATTTTGTGTTTTAAGATTCTCGTTTTATCCCTGAGCCCTAATTTCAGTTTTATAATGAGTTAACTTATTTCGCGGTGTCAGTGACATGACACGTCATTTTCTGCCAAGTCATTTTTAAAAGTTTTATTTTCTCTTCTGTCATTAGTTTTTAATACTTATTTTGTCGTTTTATATCATTCCCTTGTATTTTTATTTATTACTGGAGTCCTTTTTGTCTTTATGTATGTTTTAGTTTGATTTTTATTGATGTACGTATATTTTTCTTATTTGGTATTCTTATGGTGTTTTAGTTTGTTTTTATGTGTATATTTTAGTATCTTATGTTTTATCATGTATTCTGATTAAATTGGATTTTATTTGTATTTTTTTTTTTCTGGAAATGATTCGTTTTTTTGTGACGTCACGAGTCTATGACTGCCCGCGCCCCATGACAATAAACAGTGTCAACTGGAATTCTGTGTTTTGGATTACCCTCTTCTCTGCTGAACATCACCAAAGGTTGTACCAGCCCATTCCTGTTACTTGCCTAGGTTTTATTTATGCTGGACGTTAATGTGTGTGAATCAATGAGGCATTGGTTACTTAAATATTACATTTTCCAAGTATACCAGTATTCAGTAGCTGTCAAGTTGTCACGTTTTACATGTTTTTTTTAATTTGCTGAGCCTTTCAAGGAAGTATTCCATTCAGTGCTAAGTTCAATTGATTTTATCTCTTTAATGAATGTTTCAGTAAGTTTTATGTTGTTTTAATCCAGTGCCATTATTTTATTGTATTTTACTTCTTTTACGTGTCCTTTATCTGTGTTTTACGTCTTTCACTTCTGCTTTTACTGTTTTACTTTTACTTCTGCTTTTACTGTTTGCTTTTACTTCTGCTTTTACTGTTTTATTGCTTTTACTTGTTTTTACTGTTTTATTGCTTTTACTTCTGTTTTTAGTCTTTCATTTCTTACTGAATCTTTTCTTTTACGATTTCAGTTACGTTTTAGTACTATTTTTAACTAATACTTACCTGTTTTCGTTTTATTTCTGTTTTTATTCAATCTCTTTTATGATTTCAGTTAAGTTTTAGTCTTGCTTTTAACTATTACTTACCTGCATTCGTATTTTAGACCTGTTTTATTCCTGCTTTTACTCGTTCTTTGCTGCTTTTACTTGCCTTACTCGTGTTTTTTACTTAGTTATTTTCGTGCTACTCCTCTGCTTCTACTTCTACTGCTACTGCTTCTACTTCTCTGCTACTCCTCTCTGCTTCTACTTCTACTGCTACTCCCTCTGCTTCTACTTCTACTGCTACTCCTCTGCTTCTGCTACTCTTCTGCTTCTACTTCTACTGCTACTGCTTCTACTTCTACTGCTACTCCCTCTGCTTCTACTGCTACTGCTTCTACTACTGCCCCTTCGCCTGTGACTGCTTCTGTTTGTACTTCGCTATCCCCTTTCTCTGTCTATTTTATATATGTATGGAAAGGACTCTTATTGTTTTAAAAGCACTGCCCGTTTAATAGCATATGTGGAAGCAATAGTCATCTATTTCCACATAATCTGGAAGTTTATCCATTGCTTTTTTTTTAGCTTCCAGTCTTTGTTTGTTTGTTTTCTTCTCGAGGAGTGAACGGGACCCCTTTGTTCCTTCCTACTTGGTCTCTAAGCCTCTCCTGCCTCACAGGAGTGTTTCGGGCTCCTCCTTCACAGATGACATCTGGCCATAAGCTGGATGTGAACCTTAATATATATATATATATATATATATATATATATATATATATATATATATATATATATATATATATATATATATATATTATATATATTATATACATATATATATATATATATATATATATATATATATATATATATATATATATATATATATATATATATATATATATATATTATATATATATATATATATATATATTATATATATATATATATATATATATATATATATATATATATATATATATATTATATATATAATATTATATATATATAATATATATATTTATTAGGATATTCATGTATATATATTACACACACATATATATATATTTATATATATTATATATATATATATATATATATATATATATATATATATATATATATAACTATATATATATATATATATTTATATATAAATATATATCATATATATATATATATTATATATAAATATATTATATAAGAAGTATGGTGTAAGTTGCACCCACATATATATATATATCAATATATATATACCACATGCACATATCACCCCACATAAACAGTATATATATATAGCACACCAGACACACACACATCATACATATACACATGTACACACTATATCATACGCTGGGAGAGACACACATATATATGTATATATACGAGATATACAACACACACACACACACATATATATAAGTTATGATTAGCTGTTTGTATATATATTATGAACTAGGAATTACGTAATTATGTGATTTTAACGTCTGGATCTTATAGTTAACATAGTACTCGTAATAGCGTTTATACAACAACAGCACAGTCCACACAGTATATCCAGTCGAGTATGGGTGTGATCGTTGGCATTGGACGGTAGTTGTATAGATGTTTCGCGGTTGGATCTAGGCTGTCACCACACAGCATTCTCTAGCGAGCTGTTCGTATCGACACAGTTTACCACCCGTTGTTGCGTGTGCTGTTTGTTTTGTGGGTATTGTGGTTTTCCGGCTGACAGTGGTGTGGTCGTCTGTGTCGATGAATGTTCGTTCCGGTAAGAGAGGATGCATGTCACGGCCTAATCTTAACAGCAATGTGTCCTCGTTATGCCATGGCATATCAGGAAAGAAGAGGAGAGAGCCATGTGACTAAGATAGAGATTTTATTTTCTCTTCGTCAAAAAAGTCATTGATAGAGGAAGACGAACGGGACAATGTTGGCTTCTCTCTCGGTGAAATACGACCTTTGGCAGAGAGAGATAGGGGCGTAGAATGATGCCTTTGGTCGGTGTTGGTGCATGGAGATATGCTGGCTTTGTTTACTGAACAGTGTGATAACTCTTTTACTTCTCTGATACTTTTCTGAATCTCATATCAAGTACTACGATGATCATAATTTGCTCTATTCCATTATATATTCGTTGCAAAATTTTTATTAAGATTTTATTTTTCATTTTATTTTTATTTTTTTTATTCTGTCTTCAATCGCTCTACATATTACATAGTATCAGGTCATGCTATCATTACGGATCACTACTCTGATGTGCTCATGTAGGAGTAAAAAAGAACAAGGGTGACAGAGGAATTCACATATTAGAAAGAAAATCTATGTGTAGATTGCCAATTTCTCATCACACCCAAGTGAGGTGCATGGCTTCATCTACGTGAATATAAACACTCACTCTGAGTGAAGCGAATGTACAAATTAACTGAACAAAAGTAGATTTAAATTCATAAATACATCAAAGTGTCTCTGTTGCACAAAGCTCACAATGCCGAATAAAAGGAAATTGAAAAAGTCAAGAAAAAAGAACATGAAAGAAGTTCTCGGAGAGTTTTACCTGGATTCAGAGAACAGAACAAAAGGGGAAATATGGAAACGATAACAAAGTACAAGACAGGCGAGAAAACTCGTGAACTTCAAAATGTTCCCATTCTGAATTCCGAAAATAACGAGAGAAAAACATGAATCAAGGAATTTCAAGTTATATAAAGGATTGAACAGTAGAAAGAATATAAAGTATTCTTGATAGAGAAGAGGACAAAAGAGAGAAGTATGGAGAGAGAGAGAGAGAGAAGATAAAGAAAGAGAGAGAGAGAGAGAGAGAGAGAGAGAAAGAGAGAGAGAGAGGAGGAGAGAGAGAGGAGAGAGAGAGAAGGAGAGACGAGAGAGAGGAGAGAGAGGAAGAAGAGAGAGAGAGAGAGAGAGAGAGAGAAGAGAGAGAGAAGAAGAGAAGAAGAGAGAGAGAAAGAGAGAGAGAGAGAGAGAGAGAGAGAAGAGAGAGAGAGGGACGAGAGAGAGAGAGAGAGAGAGAGAGAGAGAAAGAAAAGAGAATGAGAGAGAGAGAGAGAGAGAGAGAGAGAGAGAGAGAGATGCAGAGAGAGAGAGAGAGAGAGAGAGAGAGAGAGAGAGAGAGAGAGAGAGAGAGAGAGAGAGAGAGAGAGAGAGAGAGAGAGAGAGAGCGAGAGAAAGAGAGAGAGAGAGAGAGAGAGAGAGAGAGGAGAGACAGGAGAGAGATCAGACCAGAAGACAGACAACGAGAGAGAGAAACTGACAGAGAGAGAGAGACAGAGAAGCAGACAGGGAGAAAGTTTGGGTGGAAAGTGGTATAGGAAGAAGGAGAAGTGGCGATAGAGGAAACAGGCAGCTAAGAGACAGTAAGGCAGAGACAGACAACGTGATACTCGAAACGTGAACATAACATGAGAGCAACAGAGAGTGGGCGAGAAGAGGAGGAAAGAGACAACCGTTGCGTCATAGTGTCGTGTTGAAGCTTAGAAACGCGTCACACATCAGCAAAACCCAACACACACCACACACCCAACACAACACAACACACACACACCACAGCACACACACACAGCATCACACACACACACAACACATGCACACAACACACA